CCGCGCACCCGGCCTCGCGGGCAGCCGCGCCCCGAGGTGGCCGCCTGGGGACTGTCACCGCAAGGGAGGGCACGCGGCGCACACGCGCGCTCATAGGCTCCAGGCTAGGGGACACATGCGCACAGATCTACAGGCACGCAGCACACATGTGCGCACATACGTACCACAGGTACACAGACACACGTGTTCCCTTCCCAGAGACACTACACTGCCCACGGGGGCGCGCAAATACCACATGCACGCGCACACAACACAACACACAGGTAACACAGAAAGCAGCACAGGCATACACACATACACATGCGTACGCACAGACACACACCTCGCACAAACATACTACACAGACACACACCAAATGCAGACACACCTCACACACACACATCACACACACACCAAATGCAGACACACCTCACACACACACATCACACACACCAAATGCACACACACCTCACACACACACACCACACACACACACAAACCCCAAATGCAGACATACATCACACAGACACAGACCACACACACACCTCATGCAGACACATACCTCACGTAGACACACACCTAACACAGACAACACACACAGACGCACACCACACGCAGACATACACCTCAGACACACACCACACACAAACGTAAAAAATATTAGGCGGGGATGGAGGCCGGAGCAGACTGCAGTGCACCCACAAATGCCTACCCCTCTACCCTCCTTGGCTCTCATCAAGATCTCCAGTGCGTGTGCACAGGCCAGAGGCGATCTGAACGCTGTCCAGGATACCTCCAGCACTGGACTAGGAGTGCCCACGTCCTCCAGGAGCTGCGGGTCCCAGGGGGCCCCGGGCTGTGACTCGCCTTCCTCTGACTTCAGAACTGAAACAGTAGCCCTGGAGAAGCAGCATAGGTGGTGGGCACTGCTGAGGGTCTTGGACACTCTCTGGCCTGCCTGCCCTGGGGTGGTCGCTGGGCTGGACAGAGGAGGAGTGGCCTTGGCTTCTGATCTGGGAACTGGGCAAGGTTTAGGAGCAGCCTTGGGGCAGGGAGCTGAGGACGTGCAAAGCTGGGCCTGCTAAGCGCACTGTATTTGCCTGGGATGGTGGCCGGGGTATGGCGGGCCCTTTCACACAGCTCTTGTTTCAAATGCTCCCACCCTCAGGGTTTCAGGTCGAAATAGTTTGAAAGTTTGAAGAGAGACTTTGCAGGTGTCAGCAGGACTTCTGTAGAACTCTAGGGCTCCTCCCAGCTTGGTCACTTAATACGTGTTGTCAGCAGACCAAGAACCTGGGAGTAAAGAAACTGGGGCAGGCACCAGGGCACGGCTTACCAGGGAGCTAAAGGTTGACCTGAGCCTGGGAATTCGAGGCCACACCAGGGCCACACTGTGAGACCTCAACTCTTGGGGGTAGGGATTTTGTTCTATATCTGACTTTTTTCTTTTAATTAAACTTTTACCACATTAAGAAATTTCTTACTGTGCTGCATGTGCTCCTTTCTACTTATCTTTTTTTGTGTGTATGACAGGGTCTTATAATGTAATTCAGGCTGGCCTTGAGTTCACTATGTAGCTCAGGTTGGCTTTGAACTCCCAGTGATCCTCCTGCCTCAGCCTAGTGCTGATTATAGGCTTGTGCCACCACCACACCCCGGCTTTTACGCATTCTTTAGCATTCAATGTTTTGAAAACAGAACTTTTTTATTCTGAGATAATTGTAGGTTCATGTGCAGCTGTAAGAAATAACAAGGTTGCTGTATGCCCTTTAGCCAGTTCTACCCAGTGGTGACTTCTCACAAAGGGACAGTAGGGTTTCACAGCCAGGATGCTGACACTGACAGAGTGAAGAAACAGAGCATTTCCCTTGTGGCAAAGACCACTCACCGTTATACCACATCCACTTCCCTCTCATCCTCATTTCCCCCAGAACCCCTAGCAGTCATGACTTCGTTCTGCATTTCTACACTTTTGTCAGTTTGAGACTGTTTTCTAAGTGGAATCATACAAGTAGGTGACCTTTTAGCATTCACTCTTTTCATTCAGCATAAATCTGGGTTGTCGTGTAGAGGACTCCGGGCTGCAGATGCGCCACTTTGTCTAACACCCACGGAAGAATACCTGGGCTATTTCCAGTTTGGGGCTAGTCTGAGAAAGCTGCTGTAGACATCCACGGACTGGTGTCTGTATAGACATACGTCTTCATTTCTCTTGAGCTGAACGCCTGGGAGTGCAATTGCTGTGCTACACAGAAATGACAAGTTTATTTTTTAAAAGACCAACAAGGTGCTTTCCAAAGTGGCTGTGTACATTTCCACCAGCAATGCGTGAGAGATCCAGTTTCTAAGCGTTCCTGTTGGCGTTAAATATTGTCATCACCTAAAAAAATGAGCCCTTGTTCAGTGTATCACTGTGGTTTTATTTTGCTTTGACTGATGGCTAATAGTGACAGCTCTCTTTCCATGTGCTAGTTTGTCATCTTTGTGTCCTATTCAGTGAAATGTCTCCTTACTGTTCTTTTATTGTTGTATCTTGAGAGTTCTTGATTTATTTTAGACTAGTCGAGTGTTTTCTCATTAATGGATCTTTTCATTCTCTTACCTGCGTTTTTTGCAAAGGAAATATTCTAACTTTGGTAAGACCCAATGTATTAGTTTTTCCTTTTATGGATTATTCTGTTGGTGTCAAGTTAAAGAGGTCTCTGCTTAGTCCAACATTTGAAGATTTCCTCCAGTGCTTTTCTGAACAGGTTGTACAGTTATGTGTTTTATGTTACTTCTGTAACCCATTTAGACTGAATTTTTGCAGAAGGTATGAGGTTCAGGTCAAGGTGCACTTGTTTGTCTGTATACACCCGGCTGCACCATCATGGTCTTTTGAAAAGCTGATGCTCTTCCCATGAACTACTTCTGCGCCTTTCACAAAATTCTGTTTTTCTGCTGTGTGAGTCTTTTTCTGGTTTTCTATACTTCTCTACTGATCTGTGCTGATCCCTCCAATACCACAAATCAATCTTTCTCTCTCTCTTTCTTTCTCTTTTTGAGACAGGGTCTCTCTATGCAGATCAGGCTGGTTTTGAACTCACTTTGTAGCTCAGGCTGGCCTCAAACTCACAACAGTCCTCTTGTCTCAGCCTCCTAGGTGTTGGGATTACAAGCATGTGCCACCGTGCCTGGGTACAACCTTTATTTTGAAACTATCTGATAAACCTTGAAACTGGACAGATTATTTCCTCCCACTTTCTTCTTCCTTTATAAAGTTGGTTTAGCTAGTCTAGTTCCTTTACCTTTCAATATAAATTTTGGGATAATCTTCTCTATATTTGTCAGAAAATCAGGCTGAGATTTTGATAAGAAATGTGTTAAACATGTATATAAATTTCCTAAGAATTGACATTTTTACTGTTAAGTATTCCAGTCCATAGGAGGCTGAGGCAGGAAGATCACAATTTTGAGGCCAGCCTGGGCAATTTAGTGAGAGCCTGTCTCAAAAAATAAAAAAGGGCTCAGAATGTAACTCAGCGTGAAGATCCTGGGCTCTATCCCCAATACCACAAAAAACCTGAAAAAGAATTCCAATCCATGAACATGGTATAGCTATCAATTAATTTAGTTCTTCTTTTATTTATTTTATCAAGGTTGAAGAGTTTCAGCATGAAATCCTGCACATAGCTTGTCAGATGTACACTTTTGTTTCTTTTAACTAATTTGTGTCATATGCTTTTAATTTCAGTTCCTCATGTTAATGTGGAGTATATAGAAACAAGATTGATTTTTTGTCTGTTGATTTTTTTTACCTTATTTTTATTTTAAAGAGTAAAAGAAGGATAGCATAGTGATAGGGGGGCTTACCGAATTACAGACAAAGTGGTAGGAAATTATCAATGGTTGTTGTTTTGCATATTGTTATCTACAAGATAGTTTCTCAGGAAAACAAATAGACAAATAATAGTGAGTTACAGACAAAAGTGATAGGTTATTATCAGTGGTTGTTGTACTATACTTTGGTATCTTCAAAGTGGTTTCTAAGGAAAATAAACAGAGCTATATATGAGGGATCAATTGAATTTTCTTTTTTTTTTTGCAGTACTGGGGATCGAACTCACAACCTTGCATTTGCCAGGCAGGTGCTTATGCCACTGAGCTATCTCCCCAGCCCAAATTGAATACTCATTGACTACTCTCAGTGGTTGTTGTAGGAAACACATAGTAATAGACATACAACCATTTACGAAATAGTATAGGAACAATACAAACATTACAGAGTTATGGACAGATTAGTAGGAAAGTATCAGTGGCTGCTGTAATACATGGTGGTATCTTCAAAGTGGTTTCTCAGGAAGACAGAGATATGCAAGAAAGATCTAACAAGTAGTTACAGCCTAAGGGTTGTGAAAAATAGCGGATTACCTCCTCACCAGTGACTCCTTTCACTGAGGTGTGACGGCTGGAAGGAAGGCCAGGATTGAAAAGAAGGACCGAGAGACTTGCACTGTGTCTAGCAACAAGCTGTTTTCCTTTTCCCCTATAGTCATGATTACCCAGGGTTCCCCCACAGAGATGACAGTCTGGCCAGAGGGAGAAGGCAGAGTATGTCCTGGGCCCCCTCATTCCTGGTGGACTAACTGGTAGGATGGGTCTGAGCTCTGGGGCCTCCACTTCAGAGGGCAGACCGATCTCCAGTGGTCACCTTTGCATTCAGGGCATGGCCCAGGGGGCTTCTTAGGGCAATTCCTCTTGAGGTGGCCTGGCTTTTAACAGTGGTAGCAGATGAATGCAGTAGTTG